ACGGGGAATGTGTAGATATGAGAGGGTGCTGAAGGCAGAATGCCATTTAATCTGAAATGCTATTTCAAAGATTACCACTTCTAAACACATCAATCATTTGCAAAAGCTGTTTGATGCTTCGCAAAATCGGTTATTCATCATTTTCCCAGAACATCCTAGGAGTGAGTTAGCAGAAAAAGCAATAGAGATTCAAACCTTGCAACGGTGTTAGTACTAATAGTACTCGCTTAGTATGACGTTGCCTGAGAACTATACTTGCTCAACACTTGACGTTTCTCTCGTAGATGCCTTGTACAACTTCCGTCGCAGAGTGAGAGTTTTATTTTATTGCAGTCAAAGTATTCTGATCAGCAACATGCGTTATTTACGGCAAGTAAAATATATTTCACTGAATTACTGCTAACTTATAAGAAAACAGTGAAGACAGAGCACAGTGTCAACCCCATTTTTTCAAATTGCCAAGAACTTGCGGATAAATGCTGCATAGCCTCTAAGACGATAACCCTCTGAAGAAAAGATGGTGCCGATTTGTAAATTTTTACCGTAACCCTTCATCTCATTCTTGCACAAGAATGATATTCATCGAGCAAAAGGGAGAGAACATAGCAAACGAAGTTACTACCAATATTAATAAATGATTTTCACCCAATTTGATCCTCCTTTTAACTTCATAAGTTTGAGCTTAACAGCTGGCAAATTCGAGATCAAAATGCCTTATTGGCAGATTTGTCTAAATTATTACAATTTTGAAAGGCAATATGTAACACTGAGAACTGGACAGTTACCTGCCATAGACCTAACCAGAAGGTTGCGCTTTTATATGTATCTGTTTTTCTTTACAAAGGGAATTACACTTTTAGTTATTCTGTTACGCTTAAAAAAACTTTTATTTGTGAAATTTATGAAATATAACAATGCAGATTAGAGTTATAATTTGTCACAAATGAGATTTCTGGGACAAATTTGAGGGAAGCTTTATGTTCTCATCTCCGAATGCTCCTCCCCAACAGTCTATAATGGATTACTCTTATAAACTTATTTCTCAAATTCTTTAACACTTGCAGAACGATGCTGAAAGAAATTCTGTTAATCTATGCCTTGATCTACTTCTCCTCTGGATGTGGTCCGGGCGCTGGACGGGATCGAACCTTTCGTGCCACAGCTCGAGCAATAATGTTCCGAGCAGCCAATGGTTCCGCTAATCCTACTGTACGGATCGGACGAGTCCTCTTTACGCAGATAGGCAATCAAGTCACCGTACGTTACTTTGAATTATCAAACAACGCTCTCAGCAGTTATTTCAAAATTTAGTTAACTGGCCGAGTTCGTGGTCTTACGCAAGGACTACATGGATTCCATGTTCACCA